CATTGGACAGCTGAAGAGAACACTGATAGAAATTTGTGTGGTTGGAAACTCATCTGTAATGCCTTAATTTCTAGCAGTAGCTGTAGATATACTGTACCTCTGATAGTTACTCCAGTCACCAGTATGTGTGTCTGTTTGTTTGATAGAAGTTAACCCTTGCTCATAAGAAGACCACAGCACCACCTGGTTTTGTAAATATAATGCACATTTGCATCTTGGCAAAAAGGATCTAGTGGGTTGAGTTGTTATTACTATTAGCTGATTAAGCATGCTTGATTTTGTATAGACCTTTGTATATTTTGTAATTCTGGCAGACTCAATGGAGTTAATCCTCCCAGAGGTTTAAGGTTTAAGAAAGCAACAGAAAAATGTACTCCTGACTCCTGGATTGTTTGCTGATCAATAGAAAAGACACAACAAATATGACTTTGGATGAAGTTTGTCTCCAGCTGCTCACCCTATACTTTTCTTTGCTTGAGGTCATCATCTGTTTTGTTTTGAGGTTCTTGAATCCCTTGCTTCCAAGGAACTTCTAGTTAAACAAAATGGGTATACTGAGAGACCGTATTGATTCCTGTGCTTATATATTAGGGTTTCCTACTTCGTAAAGCCCAACAATTCTGCATTTCTGTTCTGAATAGAAAAGAAGAAATTAGGTCTGCTAGCAAGATATATATATATATATATATATATATATATATATATATATATATATATATATATATATATATATATATATATATAAGATCCCGGTTGTTGTTTTTTTCCTTTTGACTTCCTTGATCCTCTGGTGCTTTCTTCTTTGTTGTGTTAAGGAATCAGAAATGTTTGCTCTAATTTTGCTTCTACTATAGGTCCCAGTTCTTTTACCCTCTCCTTCTCTTCCTTAGCCTTTGATCTCTCTACATAGCATTCTTAAATTGGTTTCATCCCATGTCCATTTCTTCATCAATTTGAGAGTTTTGCTTAAAAATCTTACATTGACCTTTACAATCTTGGGGTATATTGATTTCCCATGTCTCTCTCACACATTTTCTCTCAATTTGGGGGGAGTTGGAGAACTGAGTAAGGTCATTTTTAAAACATTATTTGTATATGTGTTTTGAAGTTTTATTAAGAAGTGTGTGTGTGTGTGTCTATACAAACATAGGAGATTGTTGTTAGCTTTCCTAGTGGCACAGTGGCTCGAATGCAGTACTGTATTGCAGGCTTATTCATTGCTAGCAGTTCGATCCTGACAAGCTCAAGGTTGACTCAGCCTTCCGTCCTTCTGAGGTCGGTAAAATGAGGACCCAAATTGTTGGGGGCAACATGCTGACTCTGTAAACCACTTAGAGAGGGCTGTTAAGCACTGTGAAGCAGTATATAAGTCTAAATGCTCTTGTTCTTGCTATTCTCAAGGTTACATGTTTAAAATGCCCAGATAAAAATTCAAGAAAGAAAGAAGTGATAGTTGGGTTTTGGTTTCTGTATCTCTGTTTTCTTTAGCAATACCAATAATATAGTGCTTTACAGCATTCTCTTAGCAGTTTAAAAATGCCAGTATATTCCCATAAACAATCTGGGTCCTCATTTTACCGACCTCGGAAGGGTGGAAGGCTGAGTCAACCTTAAGCTGGTCAGGATCAAACTCCTGGCAGTGGGCAGAGTTAATCTGCAATACTGCATTCTAACTACTGCACCACCATGCTCTTAGATAGTGGCTTATAACTAAGTGACAATAGCACTTAGACGTATATACTGCTTCACAGTGCTTCACAGCCCTCTCTAAGCCGTTTACAGAGCCAGCCTATTGTCCCCAGGAATCTGGGTCCTTATTTTACCGACCTCGGAAAGATGGAAGGCTGAGTCAGCCCTGAGCCTGTCAGGATCAAACTCCAGGCTGTGGGCAGTGTGTTAAAATGGAATTGGAGTATTTTTTCTCCATACTTTGTTTTCATCCTAATGTTGAACAACCTTACCATTTACAACTTAGGAATTGTTGTTAATTTTCCTTCTTATGCATCTAGGAATTCCTCTTCTCTCTTATATTTGAAAATCTTCTCAAAGAAACTTGCTTCAAGCTAATGTCTTTGGAAAGTTTGAACTACAGTATTTTTTGTCCCAATCAAGGACTTCTCTGTGGTACCTCCAGGGTTTTGAATGTCAATTACTCTGCAGAAATATTTGCTATGGGTTCTGTAGGCAGGCAGCAAGCACTAAGTAAGGGATTTATTCCTCCTGTGTTGGCTTGTATGCTGAATATAATTATAAGATAGGATGATCAATTGTAACACTAGTCTTGCTCAGTCATCCACATTTAATGATTACTTTAATAACAAGTTATTCTAAACAACTTTCAGTGGTGAAAGCTTTTTTGTTTTTAATTCCGTTTGTTTGGCTGTTTGTTTTCATGGCATTTCTTTTATGCTTGCATTCTGCACTGTTTATGAATTGCTTTGTGGATAGAGTCTACAAAACATTCTGAATACATAGTTTAAGGGGAAAATTGATAATGGGAATTCTGCTTTCTTGACTGGTCATGGTTGTATGAATTTTGCATGTGCCTGGATTGTTATCAGAGATCTTTTTCTATAATTTGCCTTTTTATGTTTGAGAATGTTGCTGGAGTAGGTCTGTTATAGGTGTGTATGTTTAATTCAATGTTTTAATTTTATGCTATTTGGATGAATCTTGACACATACTTTTAGCTTGAAAAGTATTTTTGTAGTAAATCAAGTATACAGTTTCCAGTGCTGAAAACCAAAGTTTCTTAAACAATACAGAACCACATGGAAATTGTATACTTTGCCTGACTGCCTGCCTGCTTGTCTGTCCATCCGTCCATGTCCCTTGTAGCTGGGCATAATATATGACAAAAACAATATAGCAGAAAGATATTTAGATTAAAACCATTAGCTGTAGTTAAATGGTTAATAATGAAGTGAGACATTCACTCTTGGTATAAAAATAACAAATGGAAATGAGAAGCTAAATTAAAATGAGTCTTAAGATCAAGGTTGTATCTGTGTATTCATTTGGAAATGGAGTTCCAGGTGTACTTAAAATTTTCCTTAATTCTGTGCAACTTCGTAGAGCTCTGGGAACAGGTCACCAAATGTTAATTGGGTGTTCTCTAAAACGAATTCTGATATCTTGTTCCAATAATTCATGCTGCTGGTTTCCTGAGGCTGCTATTCTTCAAGTTGTGAGCAGGTGCCCCATTTGCAGAGTTTTCTTAGAGTCCAATTGCATTCGTACCTTATATTCTTCTTTAGGGATGTATAAATTGGCACATATCTTTTCTGGGTCAATTTGACATGTATTCAATCATAATTCTGTGCTATCCAATTATTGCCTCATTATGCAAACTTTTCTTTAATAAAGTCACATTTTAGATGTGCCTATGTAAGAGCTTCAGAATTTGGAAAAAAGGCACCCTTTGAGGCTATGTTCCTCTTTGCATATTAACCCAGAAAAAAATGAATTACATTGATTCATATAAAAATGTGGATCAAATGTGTTTAATCAACTCACCACCATCAATGATGGGCAGATTTGGATGAAAATTGGGTTTTAGAAGAGTACATTAAAGTGGTTTGCATGTTTATACGTGAGGAATAAGTTAGGAATACTTGATAAGTTGCCTTTACTTTTACAAACCACTTTGATTACTAATGTTTTCTTTTTGTCACTTGTGATGGCTCTCTTGCTAGAGTTACCTTTACTCTAAAATATAATGGAATGGATGGAAGCCAATCAAGGAAAGACCCAACCTGGAACTAAGGAGAAATTTCCTGACAGTTAGAACAATTAATCATTGGAACGACTTGCCTCTAGGAATTGTGGATGCTCCAACATTGGAGATTTTTAGGAAGAGATTAGACAGCCATTTGCCTGAAATAGTATAGGGTCTTGTGCTTGTGCAGGGGGATAGACTAGAAGTCCTCCGAAGTCCCTTCCAACTTTATCATTATGTTTAAAAAAATTCAATGTTTGTTTATTGATTTATTTAAACAATAGCAATAACCATAGGTGGTGTTCAAGGCCATAAAAACCAAGCAGGAATAAAATTAAAACACCAGCATTCCAGAGAAATGGATTTATGAAAGTCTGGGGTTAAAAAAACCCTGAACTTATTCTCACTTTGGTTTTACTGCTGATTTTTTTTTAATAGCAATCTCAGGGGTCATGTAATATCCCAGCCCAAGTCTTTTAGCCCATAACCAGATTTCAAATACCTTACAAAAGTCTAAGAAGCTGAATCTTCTCTATGTTAGTCTCCTGTTGAAATCTTTGTTATATGGAAGCTACATAAAGAAGTTTCATTTCATTCTCTTTTTTTATAATTCTCCTCCAACATCCACTTGTCACTGTAATCCTTTATTTTTATATTGTTTCCTTTTGTTTCTATTTTTTTTTACTATAATTGACTATAATTCTGGTTGGACTATAATCCTGTTTGTAACAATAGGAAGTCATGTATAATTATGATAATGGTAATAAACAGCTTGATTCTTTGGGCAGCATGTAGGCATATAACTGTATCCCAATTTGCAAATGTAGGATTCTCACCTATCAGGATGGGAAGATTCTTCCACAAATGGAAAGTTGTTTTTTTCTGACATCACTTTGTTTTCATAATTGTATGGAGCCATATATACTCTAAACTCTATAAGATCCTTGGTGCAATTGGCTTTCTTGCAAACATTTCATTACCAAACTAGACAACATCATCACATCTAAATATAGTATTTCTACGTGGGTACAATTAAAGCATGCAGGGACCTCTGAAAGAAGCATCCCAAAAAGAATTTTTCGCTTGAACCCACTGCCACGCCTTCTTTTCAGAGAAGGAATAATGATGCAATGGTCAGTCTGAGAAGGAAAGTGATTGTCTTTTACAACAGCTATTTGGAGTTGACTTTGACCAGCAGGTGACAGCTCGTGTACCCTGAAGAGCCCACTGTTGGAGCTGAAAAAACCGAGCTTTAGAAAAACAGTTTGGAAGTTGAGGGAAATGTTTTCCTTTATTTTATTTTACGCAATCATTCTCCTTGTCCAGGGTGACAGAAGAAAGCTCTTGCTAAAACTCATGTTTCGCACACACGCCATCTTTGGAATAACCTTCAGCAATAAGTCTCCTGCAGGAATGGTTGAGGAGTCTGAAGAGATTTCCTTAAGAATAAAAGAGACTAATTAACAGGAACTATGCTGCTTGATAGCTGGAGTCTCTAAAAGTGCTATTTGTAGCTGAAACCACAATGAGACTTTAGGCTAAAAAAAACTTTCTTGCTGATTGCTGATACAACATCTGAAACAAATTCCCAGACTTGCAGTGCTTGTCCCCATAACTCTTGCCAAGTCCCCTCTGGGAACTGGCTTCCTCAGCCAGGCTTATATCCTGGTGGATTCCTGAACTTCAATCTCTGTTCCATTCTCTTCCCCGTTTATTACTTTCCTGGGTTTATTCGAGAGCCTGCATTTTCCTGAATCTTGTCTTATGAGCAACTAAGCCAAGTCCTTTCAATTCAGCAAGAACACAATTAGCTATGGTTCTAAGCAAGAGAGGGAAGGCGAGTTATAAACATACAGAACTGTTGTGTGCTTGCCCTCGTAATTTTCCCCAGACTTTAATATATAGCAGTTTTTTTTTTTATTTGCAAAGCTCCACATTTTAGAATGTGCTAAGACCTACAAGTGGATAGAGAAGACAGAGAACTGGCCCGGCCAGCATAAAACCCCAATCCATCCTCAATTGATTTTAACTTCTTTCCACTGATAAACTGATTTCTTCATCTCCCTTCTCTGCCTTATCAAGTCTGAAGGCTACTAAACATATCCTTAAATTTATTGCTGAGGATGGAACTGCCCCAAAAACTGGGCTGAGAGCATTACAGACTGCATATGCACCTGTTAGCTGTATATTTGCAAACAAACAAAGAGCATGCAAAATGCTACGGTCCCATCTATAACCCTACATGCTGGCTCCCTTATGGCACCTGCTGGTGTGTGGCCTGTAATTACTATTCCTTATGCTCCAATGATTATCAGACCATCCTAGGCATTGCTACCTGCTCATGTAGTTTTTCAGTTCCAATTTATAACCCTGGGGTCCTTAGACTTCAGGGTAATTAGGTGTAATTATCTTTGGATAATCTGGTGTTGGGCACAGTTCTTGTGTCTCCTGCTGTTCATTTCCCTTGTCTGGGAACCACAAGCCATGTTCCTCAGATAGTATTGGCTGGAACCATGTCTGGAGAACATCTCCCAGGGAACAGTTATTGTTTGTTTGGTACAAGTCTGATTAACTGGTGCTTCTTGTAGTCCATGTTTATCTTAATAATCATCTCCAAATCCATAATCAAAAATATAATCTATCAGTGTTATAAGGGGTATTTGCCCCTTTGTGCTAGAATGTATGCTCCATACTAGACCCATAATCTTTGAGATCTAGTTCCATTTTACATTTCAACCTTCTATGGAAGGATTATTTTTTTAAAAAACCCTGCTTTTTAAGTTCTCTATGAGAACAATTTCCTGACAATAGCATGACTTTCAGCCCTTGGCCTGTGTAGCACATCACTCTGATGAGTCATTAGGCAAGGTCAATTACTTAGTTTAATATTTAGGACTTAAACTGGTCAGAGAACCGAGTTTTGTCTTTATCTTCAAAGGATGATTCCTAAGAGAACTTTATAGCCTTGCATAAACCTCAGAAAGCTCTGGAGATGTCCTCTGGAGAATAAATTCCTCCAATGATGGAAAAGTGGTCCATGATAAACAAAATTGCTTGACTAGGCATAAGGGTTCAGTTAGCTTTGAGTGTTGCTGAGCGAACAATCTGTTACCTACGTGGAAGAAAAATCTAGTCAGCAAATCTGAGTGTTCTACTTAAGATTGTGTAGATATCTTCAAATATCAACTTTGTTGGACATTCAAGTGAAGCACCTCGACAGTATCAGCAGTGAAGTAAAATGGCACCCCTTCTATCAGTGTTATTTTGCTTAGTACAAATGCTTCTATAAACTGCTCTAAAATGGAGGTAGATTCATCTAGCTTTGACTTCATAAAAACACTTCATTAAGGAGACCACTTGCAATTCATGCATCTCTGCTTATTTTATGACAGCTATCTGCTCTTTTTTTTTGTCTCTTTTACCTATTGCTCACTTTGCCTTGAGGTTCTTTCTCCGACTTTACTTCGCATTGCTGCAAAACTCAGTAATAGACAACATATCCCACAGGTGAGATAATCCTTGCTATGCAATGTCCTTTAACATTTTAACACATTCTCTAAAATTGAAGGTGGTTATGCTTCACACTTGCTCTAATAGAAGATTTATCTGGCTTGTTTAAAATTGGTTTCCGTGTAGCGTATTTAGAAAGGGCCTAATGCTCCCACTGGGATGAACTGTGACAAAATCCCAACTAGAAACAGACCACAGCTTATTAAAAGAAAGCATGTTTGGATGTAATGAATGCCAGGTATAACCTCAGTAACTCTAATTTGAAAAGAAGGACTAAGAGGGACAGGATAGCAGTGATTCAATATCTAAGGGCTACCACCAGAGAAGGTCAATCTATTCTCCAAAGTACCTGAAAGCAGGACAAGAAGCAATAGATGGAAACCAGTCAGGGAGAGAAGCAACCTAGAACCAAGGAGAAATTTCCTGACAGTTAGAACAATTAATCAGTGGAAAGACTTGCCTCTAGAAGTTGTGGGTACTCCAATCCTGGAAGTTTTTAAAGAAGAGATTGGACAACAATTTGTCTGAAATGGTATAGGGTTACCTGCTTGAGCAAGGGGTTGGGCCGGAAGACCTCCAAGTCTGTTATTCTGTTACTAGGATAAATTCAACAGTTTGAGAAAAGCATTCCCAAAATTATTTTGTGAAAGAATATATCCATCTTGTACCTAAGAGCAATATGACTGTATCCCTCCCAGCTTTTCTATCTCCACTTGCCCCAAGCTATGGAAGACACATCATCTCCTCCAACCCATTGCTTGTGGAAATCACTCAGCCCAAAATTGGCAAGCACTGCAGTGATGCAAGAGAAGCCATGCCAAACAACTTGCTTTTCCAACTTCTCCATATTCTCATCAAAGCCCAAAGAGTTTCCTGCTCATGCAGAACCTTTTATTGGCTTGGCAGAGGAGAGATAGAATATAGAGATTTTGGTTCAATGTCATTTGAAGGGTTTTAATGAAGCACAAACCACATTATCTCCAGAGGGTTGATTAAGTCAATGTGCACAGAACTGTTCTGCATTATCTGATTTTCTTTCCCCCTAGTACCTTATGGTTTCTAGTAGACATTTTTGCAATTTTAACAAGCTGCTCAATGCTTTCCCCTCCCCCCTTGGCTTTGAATTATTGTTGCTCTCTGAGAAATAATAACAAAAAGCATAAATATTCTGCTAGATATGATCCAATGACTTTTATTTATTTTTGCTGTGTACTCATTAGTTCTCTTTCTGCTAACACAGTCAATGCTATCCAAGAAGAGGTTTTTGCTCAAAAATGCAGATGAGCAATGCAGAAGGAGAGGAAAGTCAACATGTAATTCAGATGTGACAAAAGCAGCTATCTATATGACTTGTTTTTAACTTATACCATCTTTGGTATTCTTTGTTGGAGTCTGCAGATAATCTTGGCATCTTTATAGACCTGGAATTTCTGAAGCTGACTCCCACACTTACAATATTTCTATGAGTAGAAGAGAAATATTGAAAAATAGAACTAAATTTGTCCCAGATTCCCATGTAGATGCAAATATCCGTGCGTATCGTACAATTATACAGTGGCACTTTTATTTTAAAATCCTCTGCCTTGCCACCTTTCTTAAGTACAAGAAATTGGGTCATCCCTTTCACTGAAGCACTTCTCAGGTGTGGGAGTTGCACTTCTGAATTTTGGAAAAGTAGGTCATCCCTACCTGAGGCCTGGGGCAGCTAGTCCATAGGAAGCTACCTCATAATCAAATAAATGGACTTTCCTGATCAGTGCTACTCCTCCAAGCCTGCATGGAACTTTTTTCTAACCTATAAATGGGATAAACTTTAGAAGAAGCAGGAACAACCTTTATCTGAAAAATCATATACTTTATTATTGAGCAATGTTGTTTTCTCAGAAGATACAGACCTCTTTTGCACAAAGGACACTGCCTTCCCTGGAATCCAGATGCCTTAATAGCAGAAGACACTGTTAACTGACGATGCTGGTCTACTACTGTCATAATAATTTGATTGATGTTGATTGGGAACGGCATGAGGGTTCATCCAGACCAGGTCTAGAAGGAGCCCAAGAAATGAGTTTGTAATGGGGAGAAAGAACAAGAGGAAGATGACTCAACCAAGACAATAGATAAAGGGAGGGAAGAAGCACATTTAGACTTGCAAGGTTCTGTTACTATAAACCTATATGGCAATAAAGGTAGTACAGTGGTACCTTGGTACTCATCATTAATTGGTTCTGGGAGGTGTGATGAGTATCAAAAATAATGTGTACCAAACAAATATTTTCCATGAGGTATAATGTAGTGAGTCACAAGGCAGTCAACAGCAATAAGTTCTAGCTTGGGTGTTCAGCACCAAATGATGAGTACCGGGACAACATTTTCATGTTAAAATGTGTTGAGTACCAAATTTGATGAAGTTTCAAAGCAGTTGAGTATCAAGGTACCCTTGTATTAGCAAGCATGATTTTGGTTTCCTAGTCTAATCTCCCTAGAAGTACTGACTGGGTCTGAGGACTTGAGTTCAATTCTGTTTCTAAAATACATTTCAGTTTCTGTGTTTTGAACACATGGAAGTTCCGAATGTAAGCTGGTGTCCAATTCCATAATTCCTTTCCTCCTCTTCCTAGTGCAACTATGTCTAGGCTCAATGAAATAGTGGGGATCTTTCAGGCTGAGTGTCTGAGACGGAATTTTATTTTGCTTTGATGTTTCACCAGCAGTTGTGGCTGGCATCTTTGTGATGTAGCTCTAGGCAGCTTATGGGCAACTGAACTGGGCTGATTGGGCTTTTCTGGTTGAACCTGGTGAAGCCTAGCTTCCTTCACCTGTCTCTTGGAAATGGCAAAAACAGAGCAAGATGAAAAATACATTTTTTTCCACTCTTTTCTCCAAAATCTAATACTAGAAGTGTTGGTAATAATGAGCAATCTGTGAGCTATGACTTAAATACATTTTGAATTCTTCGTTACATCACATCTCTCTAATTACCTCCTGGCCTTATCATTGAATTCTTGCATTATAATTATAAAAATATATATATGGCAATTCCCATACTCTCTCTCCAACTTCAAATCCTGGATGTACCCTGGGTTTAAATTTGCTTTTTTTGCACCATCTCTCTCCCCAAACTTGGTCCCCCCCCAAAAAAAACATATGCAACTGTAGGTCACCAAAAGTTTGCTGTCTTGATTTAATCTCTCTAGCAGTAATTGAAGCCTTTAAGTCATCACTCAAACCACCTGCCAGTTTGCATTATGTTCCTAGTCAATCACAAGTAGATATGATTAAAAGAAAGATGTCTAGATTTTTATTTTTTTAAAAAATGCTGTTCTAATGATTCAAAGCTAACCTTAGGTAATTTGTTATTTATGTTGCATTTCCCCAGAAATAAAGTGAGATCTTTTCCTTTCCTTTCCTTTCCTTTCCTTTCCTTTCCTTTCCTTTCCTTTCCTTTCCTTTCCTTTCCTTTCCTTTGCTTTGCTTTGCTTTGCTTTGCTTTGCTTTGCTCATTATAAGAATGAAAGTAAAGGGAAAGAAGTAAAGACTAATTATTATAGGAGGGGTATGGAATGCCTGGAGATTTTTTGAAGAACATAATTGTTTGCAGTTAAATTTTTTCCCTTTAAACTTTGGAGGTTACTCTAGTTTATGGAGAACCAAGATCGGAGAAATGGATTTCTTTACTATACGTTCAGGGCAACTGAGATATATATTAAATTTTAGATTATTATAAGAAAATAACTTTGGCCTTTGAATGGACGAGGGTGGGGAAAAACACTCTGAAAAGTAGTGTGTACAAAAACCGATGGCAAAAACTAAATTTGGAAATTAGTTTATTTTAAGTTTTATTACAATTAAATTTAAAGAAGTGGTGAAATGGTAGCCTAGGTTTCAAGGAGAGAGGGTCTGCATTCCAGAGGACCAAAGGATAGCAAAGTTTAGATAGTTTGTTTAGGACTAACGGGGTCAAATAGTTCCTTTTTAGAAGTTCTTAGAGTATATATTTAATGATGCTAGTAGTTTCTTTAGTTTGAGAGATTTCTGTCCATAGGTGAGGAACAGTAAAGAAAACTTAGATACAAGTCTATGTGTTTTTCTTCGACTTTGGAGCCTGACATAAGTTGACATGTTATACATTAACATGTTCCCCATCTATCATCCTAAAATGTGCCAAAATAGAATAGAATTTAGAATTTAGAATTTAGAATAGAATAGAATAGAATAGAATTAGAATGAATGGAATGGAATGGAATGGAATAGAATAGAATAGAATAGAATAGAATAGAATAGAATAGAATAGAATAGAATAGAATAGAATAGAATAGAATAATAAAGTTGGAAGGAACCTTGGAGCTTTTCTAGTCCAACCCCCTACTTAGGCAGGAAACCATATTTGCTCCTGCACAGGTACGCTAGCCACCACCAGCATCACACCAGACTAGTGGCTTTTTTGCACATGCTTGCTCCAGCGGCCCGTTTGCACGGGCACCAACAGCCCATTTGCACATGCGCACAGGTGTCAGCACGCTGCCGTAGGTGCACACAGCTCTCTTGAGCACGTGCACACACGCTAGCCCTGCTGCCATGCACGGACCCATTTGCATGTGCATGTGTGTGGGCCGTGCACATGCACACGTCCCTGCTCCTCCCTTTCCTTCTGGGCCACCAAGCTGTAAAAGTTGGGGGAACTCTGCTCTATGGTATGAAACAGAAAATGTTGAAGCCTACCAGGCTGCAGTGTCCCATCTGTGTCTGTTTGCTTGCTGCTGCCTCTGTTTCAGTGAGAACCATGTTGCATAAATAAGCGTGAAGGACAGGAATGGAGAAAAAAAGGTCAGGATATTGATGGAGTCAAAATACTGGCGTAGCATAAACAAGTATTTTTAGATGCTATAATTGCAGCAAAGCAGTGTCATTTTTCCCCTCGTCGGAGTTTGCGTATCAAATACATCTTGGCTTGTGATAATGATAATGATTGCCACACTTCAATATTTATAGGAACTGATGCTTCCTCCTTGAGACTGGCAAGTGTGTCGGGCTCTGTCTCCCCTTCACAGATCAAATGCACGGCAAATTGTCATGTGTCACTCTTTATTTGGAAATGTTGAATCCCTTGAGATTCTACATTGTGACTGATGACCAAAAGTTTTTGTCCCAGGTTTTGAGATCTTCCCGGTGTCTCAGTAGATTCTTTATGATCTTCAATTTGAAAATTCCAAACCTAGGAGGCAAATAACGATCACTTGATATTTACCCAGAAGATCTGTGATGAAAATACAGTTGTATCTGAACACAGTTTCCACATTGCATAGGATCAACAATTTTTAATAGAACAAGTTCGAAATTTTATGGTATTCTATAACTATGTTCAGCTGAATTTCCATTGCTGACCTTCTAAGCCAGTTCATGGCACTTGGTGTTTAGCAAAGAAGGTGGCAGTGTCTTTTTTGTCCTCCAAGGTCCTAAATTTTGAAAACTTGCAGAATGTTTTGTGTCTTAATACATAGTGGTACACGTTGACCCAGAAAGGAAAAACCTCTCTACAATGGAGAAAAGATAAAGGATACAAATTCATATATGTATGTATGTATGTATGTATGTATCTATGTATGTATGTATGTATATAATTTTAATAAATACCAACTTTGATTTAAATAGATGGTCAAGACATCTCAGCAGAGCTAGTATCCTATGTACTTGCTCAGTTTGCTACCCAAGCTATAACAGCTGATGGGGATAGTTTTAGCATATGTAGCCTTTAATATCTGAGATTCTTCTTGTGCTCTAGATGGGAAAATACATGGTTCTGGGTAGTTTCTAACTTTCATAGCAGCTCTAAGGTAGGTAGATGGCTGCATTTTTGCTTAGAAACATCTACACATTGGATGAATAGCTCTGTGCAGGTCAACACAACCAATGAATTCTAATATGCTATGTTTCCAAGGATTATTCATGTGGGCTGTTGAGGTGTACAGTTTCCAGCTGTCTTTTAGGCAGTGGTGGGATTCAGCCGGTTCGCACCACTTCGGCAGAACTGGTAGCTAATTTGTTGTTTCCCAGGCACAGAATGGACTTCGGGAAGCGGCATCCACACAGAGAACCAGTTGTTGACCTATTTGAATCCCACCACTCCTTCCTTCCTTCCTTCCTTCCTTCCTTCCTTTCTTCCTTCCTTCCTTCCTTCCTTCCTTCCTTCCTTCCTTCCTTCCTTCCTTCCTTCCTTCCTTCCTTCCTTCCTTCCTCCTCCCTCCCTCCCTCCTTCCCTCCTGTGGTAGGATTCAGCCAATTTGCACCACTTCGGCAGAACCGATAGCCAATTTTTTGTTGCCCACTGTTTTTAGGCTTTTACTGCCTTAGGTCAGAAGGTGTCCTCCCATGCTACTTGTTGGGAAGTCTGGCTTATTCAGTTTGCTCTTCTCAGTGTCACATAAGCTGTATTGATAGATTAATCTTACATTGTTGTGACTAAACAGCCCTGCAATTTTTTTCCCTACTGTTCGGTGTAATCTGTTTTGACAGCTGTATCATTAGTTTATATTTGTTGCACTCTCATTCACTATATTGGCTTTGTGGAGTTCTTAACGTCAGTATTTTTATGCTACCACAGCATCTTTTGCACAAGCGCCGATTCCACCCCAAACAAGCTTTGCTTTTGGGGCCCGTGAAAAATGGAATAGTGATTCTGACGTTAAGGAGAGATGGAATAAATGTTGACTATGGAGATTCTCAGCCATCCAGGTCATGGTTGTCCCAAAGTTGCTTTTTTTTTTCAAGAGGCCACTGGACTTTCTTTGTTTTTCCTTGAAGAGGTTTCGCTTGCTCATCCAAGAAGCTTCTTCAATTCTGGCTGAATGGTGAGGAATGGAAGGGTTCCACTCAGGAATATAAATTCTTCCATTCCCTACCATTCAGTCAGAACAAAAGAAGCTTCTTAGACGAGAAGCAAAACCTCTTCAAGGAAAAACGAAGAAAATCCAGTTGCCTCTTTAAAAAAAGCCCCTTTGGGAGAGATGGAGTATGAGTAGAGAGTCATGATGAGAAAGGGAATAAAGGTCTTTGTGTGAGAACTCCACTGAATTTTTATGGACAATTCTGGGGGCGTTGACCTCCTCAAGTTAGTATGTTTACGCATGCAAACAGCCTTATAATTGGTTGCTCTGCTTGATATTGCTTCGGCATATTTTTATAAAACTTAGAGAGGTTTACCAATTAGTGATCTTGTATCTTAAGTTTATCCAGATTGGTGTTCTCTAGAGCTATTAAGGCTATAATTCCCAGAATCCCTAATTAACATATCTGGAGGACATTAGTTTGAAGGACATTAATGTAAGTGTTGTGGTGAAGATTTCTTATGCTAATAGAATCTTTTTTTTTTTTTTGAGCTGGAACAATTGAATCACTGGCTTATGCCAAGCTGCAGTGTGATTTTACAGATATTCCTCTCAATAAACTCTTAACACGTCTTATACATTTCACTTCTTATACATTTCACTGGCCAGTCAGGTGACCCTTATGACCTGTACTTTTGTTGATCAGGGCTCAAAGGTTAAGTCTGATGTAGCTTTTCCATGATAACTTGAGAATTTGCCTACGATTAGCAGCCTGCTAATTTGTTTTTGATTGGTTTAGCTGCCAGTCTTACTGTTAAGCCATAGTACAGTATAACAGTATACATTTGGAATGCTAATTTGTTTCATGTCTTTTTTAAAAGTTTTTTTTTTCTGGTGAGTTTTGTTTTTGACTAGGCAAACTGATATATTTTACTTATTGCTTGTATTTTATTTGTGCAATTGATCAGCGACTTTATGAGGAATTGAAGTATTTATGCAGTGTTTTATTTAACATATTCAGAATACGGCCAGTTTTTTCATCCATGTTCTAATTATGGTGAGTGTAAAAATAGCGAAACCTGAATATAGAGAGTTTTCCAGTTTAATTGAACTAAATTTCAATCTGATTGGTTACATGGATCTGGACATTTTCTTGTGGATTAGTTATTTTCAACATTTTAATGTATCACCAACTATGAATTATTTTGGTTATTATGATGGGGAAGGAGGTCACTTGCTTAATTGTGAATGTAATATGCAACAGCCTAGTTCTTAGATCAGAACACCTTCTTTGGAGAAGGTTCAGCACCCAATTAAAGCTAAATAAGTGATCTGAAGTACAATGTAGGTGGTGAGAGTAAGATGTTTATTGCAAAACTACAAATTCTTTGAAAGAAGGGCTTCCCACTTCAGAAAAATGCATATAAATTCCTCTTATTGAATTATTAAAGCAGCCATGTCTCTTTTTCAGGCTGGAATCTGGAAAACCTTTCCAACGTCAATTTCCTATTTCTCTATTTTATCTGATTTTTACTATCAAATGTATACACACTCTATCTGCCTGTATAAAAGACTTTAGCTTGATAATTATTCTAGTAGGTTTTCGGGATCTTCAAATCACCCAGTCTTTTTTGTCTGGCAGTATCAAGGCTTTGAACCTGAACCATTTATCATATGAAAGATCTGCTTTAAGCCTTGAGCAATTGTTCCTCCCCTGTGAAAGAAGCTGCAATCTATTTAGAAAGTTTGCCTAATTTAACCCTCGGCAGCTAAGAAAAAGTCATGCTTTGCAGTACCTGTCCTAGTTTTTCTGGGAGCTGATTCATCAGAGGCTTGAAGGTTTTTTTTACCCACTCTTTCCTGGCCTTTGCAATGTTGTATGGGCCCATGTGTCAGGTGTAAGTATCCAGGAGCCAGGACTGGAGTTCAAAAGCACTGCAATTTTATTCCGTGCTACCTATACACAAGAATTTGATCTAGTAACAGTGAAGGCAAATTGGTGCTAGATAAGAGTCAATGGAATTCACAATGGGCTTAGATCTCTAAAATGATGACGTGTTTGACCCTGCCTTTGAGTTCTTCCTGGTCATGTCTTACAACCTGTTCTCATGCATTTACTTACCAAACCAGAAGGATTAATTTGTCCGACAGATGTCCAGTAGCTGCAACCCTATTCCTAAAATATAATTAAAAACATGGTTGGCATTCTGATTGGAATATAAAATCCACATTGTCTTCAAACAGTTTTTATTGTTTATGTGGAATGGATGCTTAAACATTGCCCCTAAAGGAGAAAGGATTTCAGTGAATCATTCTGAATATATCATGCAAATTAAAAAATAATGATGGCATTTTATGGAATTTATCTCATCACAGAGAAGATGTGAACTGTGGGTTTGTTGCGACATTTTTTTTTCACAAAGAACTTGAAAGCTGGAATGGGAATAAAGATATTTCTTGAAATATGTGAATTTGTCCACTTAAAAAATCAGCAGAAGATGGGGTTGTTCACTATTTCTAAATAATGTGCTCTTTAGCAATTCAAGTGTTGATATGATAGTGGTATGCTTAATGTTCTTGCCTGCACTTAGCCCCTCCGAATACGACTGGTAGCATGAGGGATATAAAATTCCTAATTTACATACCTGTACTTTCTGCTGTCCCCGTTGCTACGAATGTTGCTATGGCATGTTTTGAGGTTCTCAGGGTTTCTGAAAAGGTGACTGAAAGAGCTGTCACAAACAGAGATGATTAGAGTGACGAATCAGAGGGTGGGTGGAAAATAGAGCTTAATTTCTAAATGACTTGCAGGGGCTGCTAAAATCCACCAGAAAATAGGGCTATTGAGAGACTTTCTTCACAAATGTCAGACAGATTTTGTCATGAGAAACTATCTGCGCTGACTTGGTAGCTACTCTTTTTTTTTAATATAGTGCTGTTGCTCAAATAGAGACAGTGGTATGAACACGTATTATGGATAGAAGATGGTTGTGGAAATGGAGACATAGCCTATCAATA